TAGATAGTATTTTTTTTTCATGTGACAGTCTTGAAAGATGCAAACAGCGTGGCCCGGCGTTAAGAAAATATAACCGCGCCGCAGGTTTTACATTTTAGGCTTTTCTTAATTCAATTCAATTCAATTCAAGTCAATTTTATTTATATAGCGCCAAATCACAACAAAAGTCACCTCAAGGCGCTTCATAGATACAGAGAAAAACCCAACAATCATATGACCCCCTATGAGCAGCACTTTGGCGACATCTTACACTGATGCTTTATTTTTCGGCCGGCTCGTACAGAATCTCGTATATAATTTGGAAAGAGGGACGTCAGAGTTCACCTTTGAGAGAAGATTTTCATCTCGAGCATGAATGAAATCTTAAAGGTCAGGATTTGGTTTTCAACCAATGGCAGCCCTTCACTCGGTGCTCACTTTCAGATCGCCGCTTAAAGAAAGTCAAACTGATGAGCTGGGTTGGGACTGGTGTAATAAAAAAACATGAATTTCTGGATGCCTTATTGATTCCAGTTGAGGCTGCCAGCTTTCCCTTGTTGGGTTTTCCTCCCGACCCGTCGTGTTTTTGTCTGAAAGTTGTTGTTTTTTCGGCATGCGTTCTGGCCTCCGGGCTGCGGATGTCATGGAAAAAAAAGATGTCAATAGCGAACTGACGTGTTCAGTGAAGACTGAAGACAGGCTGTGTATTTTTAGCATCCGTTTTGATTTGCAAGATCAAAACGTGTGAAAATATGATGGAAAGCTCAGATTGCTTCCTTCTCTGCTTCCTCTATCGACACTCTGAGGATGCTGGAAGAAATAACGGCAAGTTAATGAGGCGAACTCTGTAGCTAACATGTCATGTGTGGGTTTGAATCATGTCGTCCGTTTGACGGATTGCAAAGCACTCGTCTCCGAGCGCTCCTTCAGGTCAGAGCAGAACACGCATTAGACCCGCAATGACGTTTATTCTTCTGTACACAACCTCGTTACTGTACAGCCCTGAACTCCGAGGCTCCGCGAGCAGCAGCAATCAGCCAGCTCTTAAACTATCTTTTTCCCCTCTTCTCCCTCTTGCCTTGTCATTTATCATCATAAAAGTCAGATTCATGTCTCCGAGCCTCGGGGAGGTCACGCAGCACTCAGAGGTCCAGCTGAGCGCTCACAGTATTTACCAAAGGAAGCCGACGGTTGCCACAAAAGAGCCAGAGAGAAGTTTACCTGGATCAGAGAGTTCTTAATGACTCGGCTCACATCCAGTCTCCATTCTGCAATATCGGGGTTGTGCTCATCCAGGTTTGATGAAAAGGCGAGCAGATGAGATCGGAAATATTCTGCAGGAAGAAAAGTAAATGTGTGAGGGGAGCTTATGACTTTCATCTGTCAT